ATGTCCATACCACGCCACTGATAAAGAAGTGGAAAAATGCATTACAAGGTAGCTACAACTTGCNCCTGACAGGGATGGAGGAAGAAAGAAGAGAAAGCTAATGTGTCAAATGTCTACATCACTATTTTGTTTTAATTTTTAAACAACATTTTAAGTGTATTAGGATGTTCCCTGATACTTGAACAATTTGTTTCTTTCATTTGCATTTATATATATATATATGTATATGTATATATATATGTGTGTGTGTGTATATATATGTATGGTATGTATGTATGTATGTGTGTGCGCCAAATTGTAAAGAAACATCTTGATACATTTTTAATAAACGTAATACAAATAAAATTATAAATATAAAATTGCACAAGACGTGTATATATATGAAATTTATAATCATCTCACTCATGTCTTGCTGTTTGTGCAATTGATTTTGTTCTGCAATTATTTATACATATATTTGTTTGTTTATTATTATTTTAATGTTTTATTAAAAAATGTTTCAAGATGTTTCTTCAGAATTCTGCAGTACTTTTTACAAGTTTGACTTGGATATTTTACGGATTGTCATTGGTATTTTTAAGATGTTTCTTGCTATATCTTAAATTGGTTTCTATATTTAGGTTTATATAAAATTTAGCTGTTTTTTACAAATTTTTAATTCAAGTCTATTGGGAAAACAGGGTTGTTTTAAAAAACATCTGTGTTTGTGTGTAATTTTTAGATTTTTTTTTGTTTAAATCTTTCTGTGTGTCTTTATTGTGTTGTTTTATTGTTGTTTTTATATTGATATTCTTGTGCACTACAAAATTATTTATAAAATTTTAGTACTATTTTTTTCATGCAATCAATAAACGTTTAACATTTATTTATTTTGTCATTTGTCTTGATTATTTTCGTTACAGAATATGTATGCAGTTTGCACTTTATTCAAAGGTTAAACGCAGTGCTTACACTTTGTGTTTACATTATAGCCTGTGTTTGCTGTTATATAAATTCAAATGGTTGTAATACCATATATCAAGTACCAATGTAATACCAAAAGGTTTTATAAGGTGTATAAATACGGAGTCGCGCCAGCTCCGGGCCGCAGCGCACATTACCCTCGCGCCGATTCCGGCGCGGATGCGCAGCGTCGGCTCGCTTACGGCCGCCGCATCTGGCCCGCTTGATTCGGGCCGGAATCGGGCAGTGAGTCCACAGGCATCCGGCCCGAGTCCGGCAGCCGAAGTTGGGCCGAGGGGTTAGTCTCCGGCAGGCGACAATCTAGCCGGAACTGGCCCGAGTATATTTTGCTATCTGGGTAATATTTCACTCAACCAATTTTAATTGTGTTATTTTAGTAACTGTGCTAATTATAAAGAGATTGAGCACACTTTTGTGAGGAGGGAGAACTAACGGTAGAAGAGAGAAGGTGAGGGGCTGTTTTTGTTGCCCTTGTAACAGATTAGCAGGACTCTCCTGGGCTGTTGCTAAATAATAAATAAATGTTTCGTTTAAAATTAACTTTACAAGTTTGTGGCTAACTTCCAGCCGATTTGTTCTGCATTTGCCTGCGTGAAACTGTGCTATCAATCTTAAATAAGCCTTTTTTTATGATAAAAATGTTTATAACTACAAATATAGAGTTAATAGGAAAGACAAAAACGTGTATAATGCAGACAATATGTACAATATGTCTATTTAGGAACGTGCAGTTGCTTATTTTGAGTTTTGATACTGTCGGGTTAGTTTTGTTTGCAAAAACCTGGCAACCCTGCATTTAGCACCACTGCTCAGGTTTTGAATGTTGTTAGTGCTGGATATGAGCATATTTATTAGCATTTATGAAACAAGAGCCATAAAGCAAGATAAAATCCAGCAGATTAAGCATCAGAAGGACGTTTGCTTATATAATAAAGATAGCAAAGTCAAATACATTTATCAATCACTATCACAACAAGAACAAAGTATAAACCGAACACTTACTGTGCATCAAAAACACGATTGTGTGAAAAGCCTTGACCTTTATGTACACCTGTCCAACTGCCCATTAATGCAAATTTCTTATCAGCCAATCACATGGCAGCAACTCAATGCATTCAGGCATGTAGACATGGTCAAGATTTGCTGCAGTTCAAAGCGAGCATCAGAATGGGGAAGAAAGGGAATTTAAGTGACTTTGGACGCGGCATGGATATTGGTGCCAGACGGGCTGCTCTGAGTATTTCAGAAACTGCTGATCTACTAGGATTTTCACGCTCAGCCATCTCTAGGGTTTACAGAGAATGATCTGAAAAAAAAAAAGAAATATCCAGTGAGCGGCAGTTCTGTGAGCACAAATGCCTTGTTGATGCCAGAGATCAGAGGAGAATGGCCAGACTGGTTCCAGCTGATAGAACTGTGTAGTGTTCCTGATCCTACTATAGTAAAATTATAATGTGCATTAGTGTTTACAACTCTTTGTTAGTGAATGCTCTTTTATACTGTGGTATTAACTAGTGAACTAGAATAAATACTGCAGTGTACTTTAGTTTTTTACTACAGCTGTTTTATAAAACCTATAGTTGTAGAAAACTATAGTATGGCCCTGCTGAAAAATCCAGCTTAAACCAGCCTAGGCTGGTTGGCTGGTCGACCAGGCTGGTTTTAAAGGGGTTTTGGCCACTTCCAGGCTGTTTTCCAGCCATTTCCAGCCTGATCTTAGCTGGTCAGGCTGGGAGATGACCAGCTAAAACCAGTTTGACCAGCCTAGCCAAGCTGGGAGTCCAGCCAAAACCAGCTATATCCAGCTTAAACCACGCTGGACAAG